TATGGTTTGACAATTCAGCTTAAGTTATTTGCTTAGGGATATCTAAACTTTTTTGACTTAAGATATTTGCTAAGCTGAGATTGATAAATTCCGGGCCTGGTTGGAAAAAATGCAATTCTACAGTAGTAGAATGTGTTCAGAATGGTGTCGCTTCCATTTTGTTTGAAGTCATTTAGAGGGGTGTTTATTCAAGGCAATTCATCAGAAGGACGCACATCTCGGGACATCAAAGGTTATAACTCTGGCATCGACATTCTAGGCGCACGTGCGTCCCTACACGCTGAACGTCACAAAAACCAAAGCAACCAGACCATAAACCGTCACCGTACGTGACGATTTACCCACGCGCGTGTTAGTTGCCATGATAATCGCGCGTCGTACGGTGATTACAAAGGACTAATGATATTTTGCACTAACATTAAACTGAAATATATTCTTCATTTCAACATTAATTTTACCAAAATTGTGGTGAATTGTCGTTCATGAGACTCACTTCGCAGTAAAAATTAATAAATGTCCTGTATATACTCAAATGTTCGTTTTCGGCACCTTATGCCAACACTGTCAAAATGACAGATTAATATTACATAAAAACATGAAATTTTATAAAATTCGTAAAATTTAAATTGCTATAACCTTTAATTTTCTTGGTCAATTTTCACAAATCAAATTGCAGTTTATAGAAGCATTTAACAAGCTCGCGGTTAAAAAAAAATCAGATGTAACAGACATTACGAAGTACCCAAAATTAATAAAATAAAAACGAGCACCATAAAACGAATGGCACACATAGACTAATAATTGACGGCTGTACTTGCAACTAGTACCGGATTGTCGATGCCACAGTAAAGATCAAAGGACTGTACGCACGCGCTATGTTCGAGAGCGGAGATGTGCGTCCTTCTGTTGAATTACCTTGACTAAACTGCCTTAAAAAAAAAAAAAAAAAAAAAAAAACAAAGCTCGTGTGGGAATCGAACCCAAGACCTCAAAAAAAAAAAAAAAAAAGAAAAATTGCCCCGTGTGGGAATCGAACCCACGATCGCCGGGTTTACTACCCCTGATCCAGCATGACTAAACGGAGGGAGGTAAACCGCGGCCTCTAAACCATAAATGCGATAAACCTAGTACCACACCAAGTACCAGTTAGTCAACTCCAATCCTACTAGAAAAAATTCTTCGTATATATACACTGCAGGTTAATATTATGCATGGTCATGGTGTCAAAAATGGGCAGTGGCCCAAGAGGGTTTATTTCTTTGTCTAAAAATGTAGAATTAAATTTATAATCGATTTTTTATTGTTACCATCTCCATAACTTACGCACTTTTTTTTAAATAGACAAAAACATTTGAAAAATTCATTATGCAAATTAGGAAAAAAAATTGACTAATCATCTCACGGAAAACCTGGTGGTTGTGTGTTCAATTCCCACACAAACCTTTTTTTTTTTTTTTTTTTTTTTTTTTAAGGGAGTTTAGTTGATGGTGGATAATGAATAACAAAACCTCATGGTTGTGTGTTCCATTCACACACGAACCATTTTTTAAGGCATTTTTTTTTTTATGGCCAGGGCTTCCAGACCTCTGACAATGGCGGAAGCCTATACCAAAGCTTCACATTTTTGCGGGCATAATGCCTAGACAGGATTGTTCAATCATATTGAAATTAGTGTTTTTTTTCATCCAATGGGAATTCATATTCTGGTTTAATTTTATTAATTTGTTTATGTTAAAGATCAAGTTTAATTTTTATACTTATGTTTTGTATGTACTGAGGGTCCCAATTGATTACCTCAGGCTGGATGGACCACCCTCACAAAATATTGTTTAAATAAATAAATATATTTTATATAAGAAGAATCTATGAATATTCAGCTTTCCGTTTACTGGGGAATAAACAACAAGATATTTGATTGGTGAACAGCCGAAATGGCAATTTAAAGCCAACGAAGTCGCTAGAGGTAATTTTTTTTTTAAGGCCAGGGCCTTCAGACCTCTAACAATGGTGGCGGAAGGCTATACCAAAGCTTCGCATTTTTGCGGACATAATGCCTAGACAGGATTGTTCATTCATATTGAAATTAATGTTTTGATGGTGATTTTTTCATCCAATTGCAATTTATATATTTTATATGAGAAGAATCTATATATATATTCACCTTTTTGTTTACTGTGGGGAATGAACAACAAGATATTTGATAGGTGAACAGCCGAAATGGCAATTTAAACGAAGTCACTAAAAAGAGGTCAAAATGCAGCCTCTATGCGTGGTGGGCGGTCAGCATAGCACCAATAGAAAAGTGAAAAATGACGGTGCCCTTTTTCAAGCAATACAATTGAAACAAATATTAAAGCAATTAGAAAAGAATTGCCTTCCAAATGCAGAAGGGAATACAAAAATCCGACAAGTATTTGCCAGATACGACTATGGAAAGACAAAAAATGACCTAAAACAGGTAATGTCTGAGCGTGAAACACTTTTTCTAGGCTTTTCTCGCTCTTGAACGATAACGTTGCAAGAAAAACCATTTCATATTTTTTGGAGCTTTTTTGTATGTATGGTATGTATGGCTGATAATTTTACGTTATTTTGTCAGGTCGAGGTGATTTCACTTTATTTGACAATAGACTGATATTATTTCCACTCACAATAGTGTTGTCGCAATATTACTAATACAAAAGGAAAAGTTAAAAAGAGGAGAAAAGCAAAAATCTCTTGAATGATTTTAAAAGTCGTGTACTTGCAAAAAGACTAAATTAATCATTGTTTTAAGTATCGTGTTATAATAATATAATATGCATATTAATAATAATAATAATAATAATAATAATAATAATAATAATAATAATAATAATAATAATAATAATAATAATAATAATAATAATAATAATAATAATAATAATAAAGATTTGTAAAGCGCAAACATCTCCACCTAAATAGGTGCTAGGCAGTGTCAAACAAGCAGTAGGGAAAAAAACAAGATACATATCACAAGAAGAAAATGTAACAAGACTCATCATTTTATTATTTTACCTTCTCATTTTTTAACCACAGTTATAATAATGTCTTTCGATATTTCCTTTTCTTTTCTTTCTCTTTCTTACACTTTTTTTTTTGTCTGTCATATGTTTTCTTATCTTTTTCCTATTTTGGCACTACTCCATGTCGTTGCCAAGTTGTTGCTAACGAAAAAGTGTGAATTATAGGGTAATACGCCCGCGCGCGATGCAAAACCGGGGAACACATGGGTTTGTCGCGTCAAAGGGAACTGTTGTCGAGTGATCTCCTTCTCAATAATACCTCCATGGTTTGTGGTTTATTCGAGGAAGAAGTACGGTACTCGCGCGAAGTGCCCCGTTTGAAAGCACCCCTCTCGAATATTCATTTTTTTAAAACAATATTTTGTGATTGATTTTTTAAGCAAAGGATAGTCTAACTAATCCTGAGATTGTGGTTGGCATGATTTGAGCTGTGGAGTGGATTCACATTTTCTTATGTCAATTTCAAAATGAGGATATTTTATCCTGGACAGAATCATGAGAGCTCCCTGGACACTATCTTTCCAACTTTCCTCTTCTTACATTTGTCTACTTATCATTTCTTTTCCCGACAATTTGCACCTTTAGTACGTTTTCATGTGAGTTTGCAAGAAGCCCTGCAATGATCGTGCTAATCTCAATCGGCAGATGGCCAACAAGCTTATACACCACCACCTCCACTGATTTCATCTGCTGTTTCACAGAAATCCTGCACCAGAACCATTCGTAATCTTCGGTTTTCGGTTTTCCTTATATAATTTTTTTCATTCAAAAACGACCCATTGAAACTGTTGATCATCTTGATATCTTCCGACGAAAATTGACCCTATCGACGTCACCACGACGTCCCCATAGATCGATCTAACGTGACGTTGTTATGTTGGTTTTTTTATATTTTTTTTAAATTTTTTTTATTTTTTTTATAGATTATTGAGAATGGTAATATCACCGAAAAAATAGATAAAATGACAGTTGAATGACCTATAAAGACAACTGAAGACAATAGTTCGTCACTTATGTTATTTAGTATAATTTTTTATTGGGAAAATTAATCTCAAAATCGAGTTGCCGTCCCCGGCGTTGTCAGTGACGTCGTATGATTTCATGTGCGATTTTTACCAATTAACCCCTAAGTAAAAAATAGTTGAGCCATGTAGTACCTTGCAAATCAACCCAGAAATCGGGTAGTTTGTTGGTTGTTTATTGGTAGCGTCCCCTCGCTGCCAAAAATAGTTTTTTGGCAGTTGCATCCTCGGCTGAATGTTTACCTTTTTTAACCTTTAGCTTTTTACAACTTTAGCCGTACTCACCTTGTGCAATCTTGTTTTCTAGTGATCTTGTAATTTTAATATTGTTTCGTTTCTGTAGCTTTTTAATGTTTTTATCTGATTTTGTAATTGTTTTTTGTCTTGCATATTGTGATCCAGACTTGACCTAGGCTTGTAAATATTTGTTCTTCTTATTCCATTCTGTATATTTTTATGTCTTAATGAATAAAATGATTTTATATATATTAATATTGATTTTTGTGCTTAAAATGTCAGTTACTATGCCCTTTTGCCGTGGGTTTTCTGATTCAAGGTATGTTGACAAACTTTGGAAAAAGGATATAAGTACACAGTTTAGTTCCTTTCAACGCAATTTTAAGTCAGATTATACAAAAATAACATTCAATATTAAATTTCATATGTTAGTCATGAATGTATAAACTTTTATTTTGTATAGTTGTCATTTTTCATACTTTTTCAGATTGTTTACTAGAAGATTATCCATTCAGGGAAAAAAACACAATTCCCCTATGTGGATATTTCTAGACTTTTAGTATGTTCATACAGAGACCTTATGAAAATGCACTGTGCAAACTGAAATTCTGTTGCAAGTTTTTCAATCCTAAGATGTACTTTTCTTGTACAACTATTTATTATCTTTGCTGAGACTAGAACAAAGAGGGCGCTTCATATTGTTTTGTAAACAGACAGTAAAGTACCGTATCGTAAAAATGTTCGGAGTCTTATCATAAAATGTATAAACTTTTATTTTGTATAGTTATCATTTTTCATAGTTTTTCAGATTTTTTACTAGAAGATTATCCATTCAGGAACGTTTCGCTGTCGTGGAATGAGCGAGTAAGCGATCTTCTTAACCGGTTAAGCCTTGAAGAGCTGGTTTTGCAGCTTGCTCGAGGAGGATCAGGCGCAAACGGACCTGCTCCTGCAGTGCCTAGGCTAGGCATCGATGTATACAATTGGAACACCGAGTGCCTGCATGGTGATGCGTTTATCGGCAAGGCAACTTCGTTCCCACAGGCTATCGGCCTTGCAGCTACATTCAGGTAAATATACCAGAACGTTTTTCTAAAGCAGAAAAACGTTCCGGATCAGAAAAATGCAAAATGTAGATAAGAAATCCAGAAATGGACGAAACTTGCACAAAAACAGTCTTAATGACATGCTCTCCATTTTTTGATAGGGAGTAGGTGTAGCTTCCCCCTCCCCACAAGTAGGTCACAACCAGTGATCGATCCATGAATTTGAAATAGAGGGGGGGGGGGGGAGGGGGTTGTGGTGGAAGTTCAAGGAGGGACTTTCACAGATGGAATATGTAGCTCTGTACCTCAGGGGTCCAAAGTTGAAAGAAATCCCTTCCTTCCCCCCAGGAGATCTGATGAAAATGAGCTTTCTTAAAGCCCCATTCCCTGCAAAATTTCACTAAAATTAATTAATAAAAATTAAAGAAAAAATGCATATGCATTACTTTTTTTTATTATAAACAATGGAAAAATATTAGCATAAATTTTAGTTATGCAAAAGAATAAAAAAAAAAAGAGAAATACAGCCTATTTCTCATAGGAGATTACCATTTTCTGGGCTTTAACATATTTAACTGTATGTTTCTGTGCATGGTGATACATGTCGGCGCTGAATTTCGTGGTAATTATTGCTTGCATGGAGGAGGGCGGGAGGATGTCCAATTTCCAGGAGGCCGCTGCAGAAACAGCACAATTTTTTATTGCAAAACCAACATCATGTATCAGCGATATACACTACCATGGGTACATGGATGCAGGTGATGCTTATAAATGCACTTTCTTGTTTTCTGATAAAAGATCTGTGGAAAAAGATGACCTAGGATGTGGCATATTTTGAGCGATAGTCTATGGGCTTGACACATGTTATCTGATAGAAAAAAATACCCTGTCAGAGAGTTGCGGTAATATACAGTATAGTGCCATGGACAGCCATCCCTAATGGTGTGCATTGCCTATTGGTAGGCCCATATACGATGCACAATTTAAGAATTCATGCCTGAACAAAACCATTTTCTTAAATATATATGCTATCGTAACTTTCAATTTGATTTGTCTTTATTTCATCCTACTGCAGCCAAAACGTCATTCATGATGTTGCATCAGCTACAGCAAAAGAGGTTCGCGGAAAGTTCAATAGCTGGCGTAAGCAAGGCATTTATGGAGATCACATGGGCCTCAGTTGCTTTAGTCCGGTAGTAAACATTCTCAGACATCCACTCTGGGGAAGAAATCAGGTAAGGTCTTACAAATATATGATCATTAAATAAAAATCATTGGTGTTTTACACTGTTGGATGCAATAAAGAAAAAAGTTGGGTTTTTTACATCAATGTGGATGATCCATTCGAGCATTAAGCGCTGTGATATCTTTGATAAGAGCGCTCTATAAATGACTGCATTATTATTATTTGGAGTATTTGGAGTCAACACTCTTAACCAAGTCTATGATACCTGTGGTTTGCCCATATATGGGCATGATATGACTTAATCCAAAACATATGTGGGCAAATCACAAAACTCGCATAAATGCAGGGGCGAATCCAGAATTTTTCAAATGGGTTTGGGGGGGGGGGGTGGCACAACATACTCAAAATAGATTTTTGAGTAGCGCTTATTTCAATATATGCATTAAAATTTTAAAATGAAAGGGGGCACATGCCCCTGCGTCCCTACTGGATCCGCTTCTGTAAACGTCAGTGGTGGATTCAAGGGACGGGGCCCCAGCCGGCCCTGCGCTTCCCCCACCCCCTACTAAATTGTTCAAAATTTTTTTTTTAATGGAGATATAAAGAGAATTATATTCAAATTTTTAGTCTGAGAGTGCAATTTCCGGTGCCATAATCACAAATGCACTACCGCTTGAATATTGTTGCTGTCTCGCAAAATGACAGCATAAACATGCTTAAATGTGTGCGTTTGTGAAACAAGGGGGTATTCTTGGTCTTGTGCTGATTACCCAAGCCGGACACTCACTGCATACTAGGAAACCAACTGTGTTCCCTGTGAGCGCTGGACGACGCAACACAGCCTGCTGATTGCCGGTGGCAGTCTAAACGGATCATCATTAAAAAGGGTCTGTTGCGTGCACATCATAACGTTGCATTCTCCATAGAGTCAAGTCGGCCGACGACTGTCAAGCGCCGTAGGTGTCCGGCTTTAGATGTTGAGTTTGAATGATATTCTGGAAAGGACCATTTCAACACAGTTCCACAATGGGAACGGTATGCTTCATCTAAAATAAAAGTCTCCTAAAATTATTTGTAGGAAACTTATGGTGAAGATCCTTTCTTGACCGGTCAGCTTGCTAAAGCTTTTGTCAGTGGTCTGCATGGAAATCATCCTCGTTATATCATTGTAAGTTCTGGATGCAAGCACTTTAATGCTCACAGTGGACCAGAGAACATACCATCGTCAAGATTTACTTTCGATGCCAAGGTACTTTCTGAAAATTATCTTTTTCTAAGGACAAGTTCTATCAGTCTAAAACAATAGTGTACTCTTATGTAACAAATATAATTAAAACCATACCTGTCTGATGCTTGTCAAATATGGCCTCAAAAAATTGTTGGTACTTGAGTGTTCACTGTCAGATTTTATGTAACAAATTTGTGTTATTGTACCCATATATAGGCATGATGATGTCATATTACTCCCAAATATGGGCATATCACATTTATTTGTCACATAAATTTGATTGTGTGGGCAGAATGTAAGATCTTATGTGAGGTCTTGATTGCTTTTGTTGCGCAAGTTTCACCCCGGCCCCCATGCGCAAAAATAGGTACGTCTGAAAGCACCAAATTTTCCAGTCCAGTAAGTGTTAATTGAAAAAAAAAAAACAAATAAAAAATGTTGTTTTTTGACAGGTGTCTGAGTATGATTGGTATACCACCTATCTTCCTGCTTTTCAAGAATGTGTAAAGGCTGGAGTGTACAGCATAATGTGTAGTTATAACAGGTAGGGAAAGTTATATATATGTTTCAAGAAATTAACTACTTTTTTGCCAACTTTTTTTGACAACCTAGGAGGTATACTGGTATTAAAATTTGTTTAAAGTAAACCAAAACTTGAACTTACTTCCTACGTTTTGAACCGATGTGACTTTTATCAGACCTTCATCAGGCAACGCAACTAGCCGAATGCTAGTTGTCTTCCCTGTCGTCGGGTGGTATTTGACGATATGCGCCAGCGATGTTACCAATTGGATGTCGACGACAGGAAAGACAATTAGATCCGATGACATTGGTTCGAAACGTAGCAAGGAAGTTTTTGTTTACTTTAAACAAAATTCCAATACCAGTATACATAATTAAAAACCAAATGAAGTTAATTGATCAACCTAGGAGGTACTTTTTCTTTTCTATCATTGTCAACAGAGTACAAAGCATCAAACTAATACTAAATGATGGTTTCTTTCCTTCTCAAGTATAAATGGAGTACCTTCATGTGCAAGTATGAGACTCTTAAATGGTATTCTCCGCAAGGAATGGGGCTTCACTGGATATGTTGTTAGTGATCAGAAAGCTATAGAGTATGTATCCACAATGCATCATTACACAGACACACCTATTAAGACTGCTGTTGCATGCGTGGATGCAGGCTGTAACTTAGAACTACAGCACATTAACGTGCACCAAAAAGATGCAAAGAATGTCTACACAAATATCACGGATGCCGTTAAGCTCAGCTTGTTAGCCCAGGAACAAGTTGTAGAGTTGGCACGCCCTCTCTTTTATACACGTATGCGTTTAGGAGAATTTGATCCAGTTGATATGAACCCCTATTCTAAGCTAACAGACGAGATTGTGGAAACTGAGGAGCATCAGCAACTTGCTATTGGTGCAGCTGTGAAAAGTTTTGTCCTACTGAAGAATGAGGGCGCTCTTCCTGTTGGTAGTATAAAGAACTTGGCAGTGAGTATTAATAAATTTAATTATTTCATTCATTTATTTTTCCTCAATAATCAAAAACAAATGCAAAAAATAAAGGAAAGCACAGGACATGAACTGAAATTAATGTCAGTGTTTGTCTTCCAAAACACTTGTTTCCAAACACCCAAATCTAAAAGAACAAAAAATATTTGAATAGTTATCATCTGGTTTGCTTAATATTATTGTAGAACTGTTTTGATTGTTAATGAACCAAACACAATGGATGTTAACTTAATGCAAGCTTTCGTTGATGTTATCAACATGACTTCATCGGACTCAATGTTATCAACATGACTTCATCAGACTCAATATTATCAACATGACTTCATCAGACTCAATGTTATCAACATGACTTCATCAGACTCAATGTTATCAACATGACTTCATCAGACTCAATGTTATCAACATGACTTCATCATGCTATGTGAGCTAGCATCCGTTGTTTTGGCATTGTGTAATTGGTATTGGTATGGTCATTTATAATGCGCCTCTTCCTTGCGGTTATAAAGCGCAGTTCTTTTCCCTGGTCATTGGGTCCACATGCTAAGTGTTGCTGCAATGCAGATAAAGTGTCTTGCCCAAGGACACAAGCGAAATGCACAGCGAGGGATTGAAACCTTGACCTCGAGTTTGGGAAACCAAACCGTTCCTGCTGCGCCAAACCGCTTCCAATGCTCTCTGGTGCCAGCTCTATTCTTGTCAGGATTGGTTAAAGTTTTTATGCCCCATTATCTCTGTTGATTTTGTTCCCTAAATGAGATGGTCTCAATAATAGTTCTTTTGTCCCATATTGGTTCCGTTTTTATTATTTTAGTGTCATCCCAGTTTAGATTGGGGCCATGTTCCACCCTATGGTAAGTAATTGCCGATTTGTGTAGAGTATCTTGCTCTGTAGCCAGGACACGGGCAGAGTATGTCCACACTCTTGTTTGTTATTATCAACTTGTGTTCTTCCAGACGTTTCTTGAAGGGTCTATCTGTTCCCCCAATGTAATGAATTTAAACATAAATATACATTTTAATGAAAGACTATATTAACTTTTGATTTGATATGACTATATTAAAGTTTGATTTTATTTGATTATAACATTTATCATTTAAAATTAAACAGTAAAATTTATAAAGAAATATAAAAATGTGAAAATCTCATCTTACCAACCATTCATGGGAATGTTAGATTTGAAACTACTTAGAAACACTTAGAATATAACTTTATTTAACATGTAATAGTGTCCCAAAACATTTGAAAACATGTTTTCACTTGGGATACATGCAGAACTTTGTACTACAATTAAATTAGAAGGTTTTTATCAGTTACTTTTTTAATGAAATACTGGTATTGTTTTTATTTCAGGTTGTTGGTCCATTTGCAGACAGCAAGACTGCCATCATTGGCAGCTATCCTCCTCAAACTGAGCCTTCGTATGTTAAGACTGTACTAGAAGGCTTAAGCAGAATAGCTAACAAGACAAGCTATGCAGGTGGATGTAATGACCCAAAGTGTAAAGACTACAATCAGACGGCAGTATCAAATGCTATTCGAAGTGCAGACTTTATTGTAGTTTGTTTAGGAACTGGTATGTCAGGCCTGATATTTACCTCTCTGACCACGGCGCATAACAATACTCACGTCACCGTCATGCAATCCCAAGTTAACCCTTGTACTACCCCTCCTTCCACCACCATTAAATAAGCTGGACACTTACTGCGTTGTACGACGGTTGTAAAATGGTCGTACAAAAAATTCAACTCCCCTCCCTGTGAGTAGAATACGACACGACGCTGTGTGATGAATGTCAGTGCCAGTCAGATCATCATTAAAAACAATCTGTTGAGTGTGCATCGTGGCGTTGCATTCTTCATAGAATCGCCTCAGCAGACAACTATCAGCCGCTGTGAGTTCCCGGCTTTAGATAAACCACTGATTAAATGGTTACCTTTAGGATAATGACGTAATCTATATATTATAAACACATGCTCAATGATGGGGATGGGTGAAGATGACTGACTGTAAATCCAGTGACCAGGAACTGTTTTTTTTATGTTCTGTGTTGTTTCTCTTGCGATTTTAATGTTTTTTGTGTACTGGGCCCTCTGGGAGAACAGTAACTTTTTACTGAAGAGGTAACCCAGTGTAAAGAATAAATAAATAAATGAGGGCTATTAAATGTTTTGTATTTATAATTATGAATTTATTTAGGGCTATCCCCATGACAATTTTTTGTTTTAGTATGAAACATGTCTTCTCTCAAATTTACTCCAAATTCTGTTTAAAACTATGATATGCTGCCCTCTATTGTCAATTCAGATGTTTATTGTTTGTTTGGGGTGACATGTTTTGCTGTCGATACTTTATTTAATGTATTGTGTTTTCTTTTTTTCCAAAATAAGGTGTGGATATTGAAACTGAAGGCAATGACAGAAGTACATTGGCATTGCCTGGACAACAGAATACCCTCCTCCAGGATGTTGTTGCCAATGGTAGGAAAGAGGATAACATTTTATCTGCACTCCCTTTGCTATATGATTATTGTAATAATTAAATAATAATAATTGATAACTTGATAAATAAAATAAATTGAATTACAATGAAGATTTTTTTCTCTATTTTCTCAATAAAATAACAATGATAAACAGTGATGATGGATGGATGGATTTATTTGGTGTAAACACCAAGTATAACACACGAAAGTCTGAAGAAGACTTGTTTCCATTGGTGTCCTTCTGGTAGTGACTTGGCAGTACACAGGGAGACAATCCTCTACTCTTTTCCGAAGAGTGTACTACATTTTTTTAACGTGCACATGGGCCATAATGCGCATGGGACCAAAGGCTTAAACATCTCATCCGAAAGACACTATTGTATCTTGCATTTCAGCCCTCTGGCTGAAATACAAAGAGAGCAACGATGGGAATTGAACCAGGGGCTAAGAAATCTCCACGGTTCAGCACACACACACTGGCTACCAGTTAGGCTGACTGAGCTAAGCTACTCTACTAAATTATGATTTTAATTATGGTTATGATTATGTTTCACAGTTAGAAATAATTTAATTTTTTTCTCTTCTTTTCCAAGCCTCTGGTAGGCACATAGTTGTTCTTCTATTCAATGGTGGACCAGTGGACATCAATTGGATGGTGCCACATCCTGACATCACTGCCATCATGGAGTGCTTCCTTCCTGGTCAGGCAACTGGTGAAGCCATCAGAAGAGTCTTTGGCAATATTGATGGTGCTAGTCCAGCAGGGAGACTTCCCTACACCTGGCCAAAGAGTCTAACACAGGTGAGAATGGTGTAGTCAAAGGAGGCTTTTCCATGTGGAGAACTTGAGATAATGGAAAGTCATTATATGACCCATCCAATAGAACTAAAATGATAGGACCCAAAATGAATGGCTGAGCAAAATCTCTCTTGCTCGGCCATGTGCAATAATAGACCTTTGAGTCCTACTGTACTTAAGAACTAACAATCAGAAAAGGGTCAGGAATATGCACTTTTACACTAAGGAGCTTTCGATTGCACGGTGACGGTAGGACGTAGAATGTAATGACGTCACTAAAAGTCATCTGCGCATGCGAGGACGTTAAGTTTACCTCATCGAGCAGATTCTTGAACGCAATTTATACCAAATCTACGTATGCAGAGAACGTAGGACGCCAGGTAGGATGGTCACGCATGAGTGATTCCGTTCTAGCGTCGCGTCGTCGCACAAATCAAAAGCTCCCTACTGTCTTTATGAGGGATCTTGGAAACAATACCCAAGGGATAAGGTTTAGCGGAAAGCTCTATTTAGTCATATGGCCAGCTTCTGTTCTGCAGATCTGTTCCCCAAAGTGATTGATTATGTTCTGCACCTGATGGTAGATCATTACATACGTTCTGGAAGTATTTTCTTATGCAGCTTGAATTTCTTGTGCTTTCCAACCAAAAAAAAATAATAAATTCTCATTTTAATTAGGTACACTACCAAGTATCATGAAACATTCTCTTCAAAATAGCCCAGAGAACTATCCCCTACTAAAGTTAACAAAGATTTCTACATAACTTTACAAAATTCTTCTAGTAAAACGAATACCAGGACAGACTTAAAAGTAAACATATACAAATATTTGCGTTCCTAAAAATATAATACATTGAGATTTTGATTGTAGAAAAATTATATCCTCCACTTTCCCCTTCCCCTTCACTGACAAGGCAGTTCTTGACTTTATATTTTGTAACATGATGTGCTATGAAATTGTATTTTGTTGTGCTACAGTGTTTTATTACACCCACAAAAATTAGGAGAGATAATGCAACCCTTTAGAATTTGAAACCCTTTGAATTCCTGCTCATTATAAAAACCTGTGAGCATACTGTGTAATGTGACTCCATATAATATCCTTGATACTATATGTAGTCACATTATACATATAGTATCCTTGATAATTTGTGCCTTGGCATATGTACTGCTACATTGCTAGACACATTGTCTCCATATTTTGTTCCAAATTACATAAAGTTGTCAATGTCATGATATCAAGGTGTTTCCCTTCTCAATTCCAGAAGAGTGAGATGACACCTGCTACATTAATAATTTAATAGGCCTATAAAGCTCTACTTTAATTTCCATTCACCTAGGTGTTTAGGTGACAAAAAGGAGGTTTCTCGCTGCATAATTTCTTCAGTGGCTTGTCTAGGAATATTGACATGGGAGGCCGATCGTGGCGGGTAGGGTTAAGTGAAGGGGTGATAATTGACGGGCAGTAAGCAAATGAAGGTGATATGAGGTACCTTTTAACTAAGCGCAATTTTTTGCTCAATAAACTTCTAGTTGAGGGTGCCTGGTAGGTGGAGGCCTTTTTGGAAGTGTATTCCCCACACTCTTAATTTCTTGCCTGCCAGGTCATTAAATATAGTCGTATCTGAGCGAGCACAATGGTATCACAAGACAACTTACACTCCATTACACAGATTAGAGTTGTGATGTTTAATTGTACACAACATAATATTTTGTGTTCTTTAGAAACTATTAGACAACTGATTTCTCATAAATGAATATACTTAAGTTGTTAGCAAGTCAGATAGACCTATCTATGTACAACATATGGTACCATTCAGCACTCATAGAATTTGCAAAATAAGGCCTCTCAAATAAGTGCCTTTCTTGAATAAGCAACTCACAGAAAGTTACGTATAAATGCACTTTATTGGGTCATTTACAATTAAGACATAAAATTAATATCAATCCCCCGCTTAAGTGATTCAAACGATACTTATGAATGACAGGGTCATCTTTAATATGCAGGTTATTGTTGTCTTTCTGCAGGTTCCGCCGATGTCCAACTACTCTATGGTGGACCGGACGTACCGTTACTCCACCTATGAGCCATTGTTCCCATTTGGATATGGACTTTCCTACTCAAAGTTTGAATACAATGAGTTTCAAATAGCACCCTCTAACATAAAACCATGCAAAAATATCACAGTAAAGGTTACAGTTCAAAACATCGGAGATTATGCAAGTGATGAGGTAAATATGGTTACTGTATGTTATGAGACTTTATATAGATTGTAAATTAACACAGAAAATAACATACTAATTTAAAAAAAAACAAAGATAATTACAACACGCAAGTTAGAATCATCTATTACCAGCTTACCATATTTATTCATGTAAATGCCCCACTTAGAATAAACTCCCCCTTCGAATAAATTCCCCCTCCAGAATCTCATTTGGAATAAACGCCTTCATTGGATAAATGCCCTCCCCTACACCCCTCCCCCACCAAATGACAGCATCATTCTCAAGATATTGTATTAATATTTCACTCCAATAAAATTACATTTTTTCTAACCGGGTTGATAATTATGTGTTGTAGTTCCACATTTACAGTGAAATTAAGGGGCATTTAATTGAGATTTTACACTAAAATCGAATAAACACCTCTTTCGAATATACACCCCCTCAAAAACCCTTCTCAACAATGAACACCCTGGGGCATTTATTCAAATAATTAGGGTATATGTAAATATTTTTAAAAAAATGAGGCTGTGAAAGTTGAGTAAACTACACTGCTTTATGAAGTCCCACACTCCATCATTCATTAATTGGTGCTTCAGTACTATCTAGCGAGGCCTTGACTGTCGCAGACCTATCGTTACTCACACAAACCTGACGCGACAACAAATTGCATTGGGCTGCATTGTACGATGCTGTCTTAGTTGGCCTTTCGAGAGAGAGAGACTGACAATGTTCAGCAGATGGTGCAGTTGCCATGACCAGCAACTGGAGGAGAGTTGTGACATTGATTGGAAATGTTGCATCAGATCCTTGTGGGTATCAGAGAATAAAGAAATCTGTGATCTGTGTGATCTGTGATGTTGAATCATCTTAACCAATCATATGAAGGGCCAGATCGACATCATATCAAATAAGGTTTCATAAATGTGTTACAAAGAGGGATTTGCCACAGTTTTGGATACACTAAACACAGAACAA